GACATTGACTTTAGTTATAGCATGAAAGCAAATGACTATTCTCGGGTAGTCAGAATCAATTTTTGTTTTTCCGTGGGTAGTAGGCTGCTGGTGGTGGTTTCCCCTAGTTGTAAGAGTTTTTAGAACTTTTAGACATTCTGTTTGATCATTTCTCCTCTTCTTTGAGTACCATCTCTCACAAAAGCCTAGGAGCTGGAGGATCCAACATATTTTAAAAAAACTTAAATATCTGAGAGGAAAATAATTCCATGTAAAATTAGACGTAGTGCCTATTTCAAAATTGTCAGTGTAAGTATATAGTACTGTATATATCTTCAAGTCCATTATTTTACTAGACTACCTACCTCTTTTCACTTTATCCAGTAGTAAAGTGTTTTAGCTCTGTTTATAGAGAACAGATACTAATGGCAGAATGAAAACAAAAAAGTTTCCTTCCATCCCACAGTCCTAGATCTGGTTAGATTTTCAGCAGCATGCGGTTGGTTCTGGTCCATACCAAAATGACAGATTTAGGTGTTGGAGGGCAGAGAACTTGGTGTAAGTAGACTCACCTGGGTACTTGAAAGCAAGATGGGACCGCTCTGGCTTGTTTTTGTAGTCTTTATTTAATCTGGCTCAGTAGCCATAGTTCAGTTCAACACAGTCGCCAGTTGCATTGCTTCTATTGCACTAACCTGAAATGTGCTGGAGAAAATAAATCGACACAAGTGGCTTTTTGTTTGTCTTTTGTCTTAACACTTCAGGATCAGACTTGCTTTGTATTTCAGACTCAGGAAAATCAATAACACACAATACTTACGCTTATTTTCAGTATTATGGCCAATTAGGCTAATTTTAGTAATGGTCAGAGGCTTCTTAATTGGAGGGCAGTGATAAATCCTATAAATACCAGGTTCCAAATGGTACCTCTGTCTTCCAGCCCATCACAACGATTTTAAAACCAGCTTTTGTTTTTGTTTTTGTTTTGTTTTCTTGCTTTGTTTTTTTAACAGGAGAGCCAGTGTAACTCCTTCAAGACTGGAGTGATGCACACTGCATCAGCATCTGCCTCATGTGAGTTCTTGCCTTGGCAGCAGCACTCGGCTAGGCTGGAACCTCTAGAGGTTTGCCGTTGGTTTTACTAAAATCTGTAAACTACTGCACAGTGTGTCTTTGTGGCAAAGGTAGAATGAGAATTCCAAAGTTCCTGCGGAAAGTTTCTGCTCATCCTAAAGGAACTTTCTCCAGCAACATCTTATCTACACCAAATAAAGCCCACATCTTTCATCCCCACTACGTGCAGTTATTTTTGCAGAGCTATTTTTGCCTTGCAAATTATGGAGTAAAGAATATCTTTAAATGCTTTTAGTAGCTTCAGCTTTCAAAGCTTTGGTTGTTCTCTTTCTAGTGGAGTTATGTAACCTGAGAACACTGTGTGCTGTCCTAGTGGCTGAACCAGTCCTCTTTTTTGGACTCTGGTCCCTAACACAGTTTCTTCCTTTGTCTTTGGATATTGGGTAAATGAGGGTAGGCCCAAGGATCTTCCTGGAGAATAAGTAAGCAGTTAATGTCTAAAGTTGTACTTATCCGAAGCCATTGGGTAGGTGCGAAAGCCTGGAATGCCCGCTAAGAGTTAGCTGGAACTGTGCATCGTTGACCTGCTTTGGTTTGTAATAGAAATTGAAGTTAGAGCCTTCACTCAGGCTTGGAGAGGTATAGAGCTTTACAGTCTCAGGTGATGAGCTTTTCTGCAGATGTCTGAGGCTAGTTTGGAAGGTTAGAAGGTCCTTGTTGATTAAAAAACGGAATTTTACTTCTTATTTTTTAAGAAATGGTGATACTTTGTAAACTTAAAGAGTTTTTGTCACCATCAACTCTTAGAATAAAATCTCTAAATTCAGGCTGTGTGCAGCTAGTAGTTCTGCTTCTCAGAACTTGTATTTTGTATAGCTCTCTAGCAGATGACTGAAGAACACAGATGTTTGCATTGGTAAAATGACTGTCCAGTAGCTTGTGAGAAAATACCAGTGGCTTGTAGGTTTTACTAATCTAGAGCTTGATGAAGTACAATGTTGTTAAAGTAGAACTTGAACTTTCTGTGATAAATCCATTCCTACCTGAGTTTAGGACAGTTTATTTTGTACTAGTTGAAAGAAATTGGAGGGAGAAGTAGTGTGTTTCAATGTTCAAACTTACGTTTTAATGGCCTGTACAATCTAGAAATTCACAGCAGTGGTTGTATACCCCACTACAGTTTTGAACGGGACTCAAAGGGACTTAAATTCTGCCTTCAGCTGATAATTGTACTTGCTGTGTAACTTCAGGCCCACAGATGGAGAGAATGCATCATAGTTCTGGGAGGTGTACCCTGAGGTCATTGAGAGAAAGGAAACTTAAAGTACTTCTGTAGATGGAATTTTTAGAAAATTACTTCAGTTGAACATTTGAGAAGTTCTTCCTTGTGAATAAATGTATTGTAGCAAATATATAGTGTTTCATTTTCTGCCGTTCTAGGATTTGTGGTGGCAAAATGGAGACTTGAGATTTTTCTCCCCTGTATTTTTTTTCACTAAACATTTTGAATTACTTTGAGCTTCAGCCAGTTGGTCTTATAAACATAGGTTTCAGTCACAGATTATTCCTTTACTCTAATTACTTTATCCATGAACAGGGAAAACTGTTGACCTAGGGGTAAGTTTCGTTGGGGGTGATTAGAGTTTTGTTTTGTTTTGTTTTTTTTGGTCCCTCTTCTTAAGGGATGTCCAGCAACTTATCCTTTGAAAAATTAATAATTGAAAGCATTTTGTATGAGCCAGATCTTACAAGTATCAGTAGGCTACCCAAATTATTTAGCTATAGTGGAATTTTTATTTCATTAAATATTAGTTGAAATATATGGAGCTTTGGTTAGAATTAAGAAGTAATTCTGTTCTATGGGAATTTTGTTAAAATGACATTTACTTGGGACTGGGTTGGGAGCATGGAGAAAACGTGGGGGAGAGACGTTAGTTTCTGTTTTCAACTTAATTCACATTTTCGTATTTGCATCAGTGGGTACCAGGCCTTACTGTCTTACTGTGAATGAGCATGCAGCACTACCCGTGCTGCAGAGTACATCGTATAGATTCGGGAGTCCACACTTGAGAATTAAGGGGTTTGGGGTGGTTTTGTTTTGTCCTGGGGAGGGATGGGTGGAGGACAAAGAGAGAATTGAGGGCGGGAAAGAAATACAGCCAGCTTTGAAAGTGTTGTCCAGAGTTAGCATTAGCATTAGTTTATTATTACCCCCAAGACAGCAAGAGCAGCAAAGATAGCTTTTTTATGAACACAGCACATGGTACAGTTTATACAGTATGCACATCATGTGATATAGTTTTTTTGACATTGTTCTGATAAGTAAAAGTCATGTATCTCCTAAAGAACTTTAAAAATTATTAGGCTTTTAAAAAGTTTTTATTTTATTTTTTTAGGCTTTTTTTAAAAATCTGAAAATATTTTTAAAAATATTTTGAAAGCCCAGTTTACTTTTTTAAAATCTCAATTTCATTTTCATAAATAAATAAGTAAATACACACATACCTACACCAGTATGTTGTAGGTTGTAAATGTGCCGAGGTACATGAAAGTCCCCTTTCCCTTAGGACGTAGCCCCACTCAGTTTCCTTCTTAGGAGGCAACCAGTATTACTGGCTTCATGTATGTTTATAAAGGGTTACTTTTAGAAAGGGAAAGTTGAATTGTACTCATTAAAATATAGTATTAAAATGAAAAGGCAGACTAATTAAAAAAAATCAGTCTGAGCTGTAGGGGAGAGATGTCAGTAATAGAACTACAATAGTATAATAATAATAGTTGCATTATTATGAGACTACAAGAATAGGATGGATATATTTGCACACTGTAGGTTATGTATGTATGTATGCATGTATTGATAGGATCTTGCCAAGTCATTAGGTTGCCCAGGTTCCTTATAATGCTCCTGCCTTAGCTCCCAGAGTGCTGGGATTATAGGCTTATGCCATCATGCATGGCTTGCTGTTAAGATGGTTTACTTACTCCGAGAAACTGATGGAAAGTTGTTAACTAAGTATTTCATTTGAAAGAAGCATAGTTAAAGGGGTAGCATTTTCTTTATGGTGAACTGCAGTGATAACTAGAGTTTCTTCATTATGGAAAATTTCAGATACATACAGTAGTAGAGAGAAACTCCTATAACCTGAAATCCATGTTACTTGAGCTTTAACGAACTCCGTGTACCCCTTTGGCAGATAAGGAGGTACATAGAATTGTTACATATAGTTGCTTGGACTCACCTTGCCATAATCGTGCCTAATAAAACAAACCATAATTCTTTAATGTCTGATTCCCAGTTCACATCCAGATTTCTCTAATTGCCTCAGACATTCCTTTTTGTGGTTGGTTTGTAATAATACTTTGTCAAATCCAGTTCTAAAGGTTGTAACATTGTTAGGGCTGAGAAGAAAACAGTTAATCTGACAAAAGAACAAGTGTGCTGATTGGAGGAATAAAAGCACCTGAAGCCAAATAGGAATTCCAGAAATAGACGTAAGAAAATTATTTTGAAGATCCCTACATCGGTTGTTCACATCAGCGAAGACTTCAACAGAGAGACTTCTTGTACTTAGTTTTCTGTTGGCTTATATTCTCACAGTTACTACCACAGCTGTGCATACTGTTATTTTTCCTGCCTTTCAGTTGTGGAGATGAAAGAATAAAGGAGAGAGAAATGTTTAGTGTAGGTTTCCTTAGAATGAAGCAACTATTCTGGAATGTTTGATAATTCTTGTTTCTACTGCTCTTGATACAATGTGACCTATTTCTACAGACTTAACAGTTGGATTCTTTAATTACTGGGGGGCAGTACAGAGTATAGAGTTTAAGGGAAAAGAAGAAAAACAGCAGGTTGAGGAGGAAAGAGGAATTGGGAAAGAGTTGAAACTCGTTCATTTGTTTGCCGAGCTGTTGTTCATGGTGCCTGATCAGAGTTTCCGTTTGTGCAGTGTACAAGTCCCCGGAGTACGAGTCCCTTGGCTTCGAGCTTACTGTGGAGAGACTAGTTTCTATTGGTTATCCCCAGGAGCTGCTCAGCTTTGCTTATGACTCTACCTTCCCTACCAGGTAGTTTTTCAAGAGTTTTTGGATTAAGACCACCCCCCTGGTCCCCCAAATTAGAAATTCTGAATTCATTCTTGACCATAAAAAGCACACATCAAGTAATTCTTCGTCGTTTTTTGGTGGGTGTTGATTTTAAAATTTCCATGAAATTTTCATAGATACGATATCTTTCGTGTTCTTAAATTGAACTCAGTTTATAGCTTTTGAATAAGACAGCTTTATGGGTAAGAAAGATGTTTATTTGAATTAACTGTTATATGTCCCACATACAACATGTCATGAAGGGAAACATAGGCCAGCTCAGTTGTCCATGGAAATTTAAAGATTCTGCTTTGGAATGATACCAGTTATCTTAAGAGGAATTACAGTATATACCTGTTTGATTAAGCCATTATCCTTAAAGGAAAACAGTTGTGATTACTTAGCTATGTGTAATAAATTTTTAGTCTCTCTGGGATTAGTTTTGAAGACTCTCTTCATTCTCATTAGCCTCAAGATGACATTATTTTGGGATATTCCTTAGTTGCTACAAAACTTGAATGAGATCAGCTTGGCTCATAGTGATTGGGTCGTACTACTTAAAATTTCTGCTTGTGTTTGCATTGTCAGCGGTATCTTTATTTTCACAGAGGACTTGTCTTTGACACACTGTATGGAAATCTTTTGAAGGTCGATGCTTATGGAAACCTTTTGGTCTGTGCACATGGATTTAACTTCATAAGAGGGTAAGTACAGAGAACCTTTAACCTCTTTCTAGTGTCATACTATATGAAGGTGACATTGTCCCCCAGGTGTAATACACTTTCCTATTTTTCTGTCATTAAAGAGACATTCCTTTTTTGGTTTTGGTTGGTTGGTTTGCGGTAGGGTCTTACTATATAGTTCAGGGTGGCTTTGAACTCACTACATAGTCTAGGTTGGCCTCAAACTCACAGTGGTCCTCCTGCCTCAGCCTCCCAAGTGCTAGGATTATAGGTGTGCACCACTACATCCAGCTAGAGAGGGGGCTGGGGATTTAGCTCAGCGGCCTGGCAAGTGCAAGGTTGTGAGTTTGATTCCCAGTACCGGAAAAAAAAAACAAAAAAAAAACAACAAAAAAACAGCTGGAGAGCTATTCCCTTATGTAATGATAGACAACATTTATTAGGAGTTGGAATCCGAAGTAACTTACAGATATAGATAGCAACTACATTTGTTTAAATTAAGTGCCTTCTAATTGTAAATATCCAATAAAGCTAATCTTGAAACTTTCAAAAAAGAACTGTAGTTGTTTAGACTTGTTTGACATTCTAAGATTTTTATTTTTCCTTTTTAATATAGCTCTTGGGTAGCTGCTCAGAAAAAGCACCTACATAAAAGCACTGTATTTTGAAAATTTTTAGGATGTAGCAACTTAAATAAGATTTTAACATAGCTAGTGCATTGTTTTTTATGTTGTAAAGAATAGCTCCCAATATTTTTATGAATAAAAAATTTAAATGTAGAATTAAAAATGACTGTAGGGTAAAGCTGAACATGGAGATATATGCCCATCGTCCCAACTGCACAGGAGGCTGAGGCAGGATTATCCTTGAGCCCAGGAATTTTGAGGCCAGAGCCTGGACAACATAGCAGGATATCATCTGAAAAAAGAATAGAAAAGCAGGATAATAATATGTAAAACAAAAAAGGATAAGGTTTATTTTCATAAGTAGAGTGTTTCTCTTACCTATTTGGTTTTATCGCTTTTCTTTCACTGTTGCTTATGAGGGGTTTTTGATTTATAAATATCAGGATTTGGGATTTAAAGATAACTGCATATAGTAGTAATAACCTAAGATGTTTTATAGATGAATATTCTACTTATTACTCAGAATTGAAGTGAAGATAAATCAGGGTTCTATTTTTGTTTGGAAAGGGATTTTTATGTTAATAGTGAGGTACAGAAGAAAAGGAAGAAGAACTATTTAGTGAATTAGTTTTACAGTCAAACTTACTAACTCATGATTCTAAATAAAGTTCTCAAGTAGCTCCTTCGAAAATATATTTAATAGTGGTCCTGAGAGTCCAAAGGAAAAGCTGTTGGAGAGAGGAACTCGGAGTGGCAGGGTTAAAGTGTAGTGATGAGCAGAGGGGAAGGAGAGTCAGGCTTCCATCTGGCATCACATCTGTGCCTTGCATTAGACCTTCAAGGCCAAGTGGACCAGTGCAAAAACTAGTCCAATTTTATAGTAGAGAAAGGAGCGCAAAGCAGATCTAGGAAGATAAGCTGAGGCCGATCATGCCACTGTTCTTTCACTTTATTCAGGTTATGATGGTGCTGTTTACAGTTTGTAAGCAGAGGGTTTAAACCCATCAGAACTGTCATAAAGACTAAGCTGGTAAAGTTTTAGAATAAACAGCAGAAAGACAATGTGCTATGGGGGGCGCACACCCATGAATTCTTTCCATCCCTTTGCAAACAACTTGGTGGCCCCTCGCATCAGACATATGCATGGATGATCCCAGTTGTCTGTCGTCTGAATCTTTGTTTTAAATTCTTGACCTTTTTATGACTGCCTACTGAAAGTATGTTTATTTCAATCTTAGTATAGCCAAAGTAGAATTTCTCTAACATCTGCCTATTTTCATATTTTTAGCAACAGTACTAATCACCTTTCAGAGCATCATCATCTTCAACTCTTATGTCCTTTATCCACCACATCCAATTAGTTACCTGGCCTTATTTTTCCTTGGCAAGGTCTTTTGAATACATTTTTCTGTTATTTTCCTTTGATACCACACTAGAACAGGTCCCATTGTTCTCATCTGGATTACTATTATCTCCAGATTTCCCATTGCTTTGTATCAGTTAGCTTTTGCTGCATAATAAATTACTCAAAAACTTAGTGGCTTGAAACAGTAGTGTTTTATATACCTCACAATTGTGAAAGTCAGCTGGGCAATTCTCAGGTTGCCCAGCCGATCTCTCTGAGCTATTTCATGAGGCTGTGGTCAGCTGATCGGTCAGCAGCTGATCTAGAATGGCCTCACGTGTCTGGCAGCTGGCAGGCTGTTGGCTGTGTGCCCCATTTCTTCCTGTAGCCCACTGTCCTCCTGCAGACCAGCTTGCTGTGATTTGCATAGCGGTCTCGGGCCCCTGAGGAGCAGGAGAGAGAAAGCCCTGACACACACGTGCTTTTGAAGGCTCTGCCTGGGTCCCATGTGTTGTTGTTCACACTTGTATTCAAGGATAGGGAAGTAAGCTGAGCTTCTGATGCGAGGGGCCACCAAGTTGTTTGCAAAGGGATGGAAAGAATTTATGGGTGTGCGCCCCCCATAGCACATTGTCTTTCTGCTGTTTATTCTAAAACTTTACCAGCTTAGTCTTTATGACTTAGTTCTGATGGGTTTAAACCCTCTGCTTACAAACTGTAAACAGCACCATCATAACCTGAATAAAGTGAAAGAACAGTGGCATGATCGGCCTCAGCTTATCTTCCTAGATCTGCTTTGCGCTCCTTTCTCTACTATAAAATTGGACTAGTTTTTGCACTGGTCCACTTAGCCTTCTATCTTATGGACATCACTTTCAATCTTCCAGGTAGACCCCTTTGGATCTATCTTACGGACATCACTTTCAAAAATCCTAGGTCTTTCATCACCACCTTGCATTTATTTCTCTCTGCCTTTTAATGAAATGATTTCCCCTTTGTTTTCTAGTAGTTCTTTGCAGCTTTCTTGTAGTAGTAATTTCTTTCTTTCTTTCTTTCTTGCTTGCTTGCTTGCTTGCTTTCTTGCTTTCTTTCTCTTTCTTTCTCTTTTCTTTTTTTCTTCCTTCTTTCCTTCCTTCCTTCCTTCCTTTCTCCCATTTTCTTTCTCTCCCTTCCTTCCTTCCTTGTTATACTTGTTTGTGTATGTGACTTACCTGCTCTATCAGGGAACTCTTTAAAGGCTAAACCTGAACTTACTCATCGTATAACTACCCATGTTTAGTATTGAAGCTCTGTCTTGCACATAGCCATCAACATACTTGAATTTTTCAACAATGACTGTTTCCAACAGTTACTATGTTGATACTTTGACTGTTAGCTAATTTCTAAATTTTTCTTTCAGGCCAGAAACTAGAGAGCAGTATCCAAACAAATTTATCCAACGAGATGATACTGAAAGATTTTACATTCTGAACACACTATTCAATCTGCCAGGTAGACCCCTTCTTTCCTTATTTGTACTGATACATTCCCTTCTGTCCATGAGCATTTGCCTTTACTCAAGGGAGGGTAATGAGCTATGTTTGAATTATTTCATGTATAGCTTATGGATATCTATTTTTCATTTTTCAGAGACCTACCTGTTGGCCTGCCTTGTAGATTTTTTTACTAACTGTCCCAGATATACCAGGTATGTATACACAACAATTTCCTTTTTCCAGTTGATTTTTTAAATTAATGTACAGGGTTTTAGAGAACTGGCCATTGTAGGTCTTTTCTGCTTTTCTGAAGTGAATTTAGTGCTAGTGAGAGATGCCACATTGCCAGCCTGAGAGATGGACAGCACCAGCAGCTCCATGCAGGCTCTCACCTCCCACACGCCCCTCCTTGCCACTGTGCTGCAGCCATACTTGGAAGGGACCACTTCTGATTGGCTTCTCCTGGGAATGAAGACGCCAGCAGAGGTGCTAATTGTGACAACTGAGTGGGAGGTTTGTGTGATGATTATCTGTCCAAGCAGAATTACACTAAAACCCCCCAACTCATTTCACAGCAGCAACCCAGGAGCCATTCAGGGATAATTTAGTTTCATTCCTAGGCCCAGCAAGATTTCATCAAGGAATAAATACTGTTACCTGAAATAAAATTTGGTCTAAGTCTTGAACAGGTTATCTTCTCCTTAGGGGAAATTCTATAGTCATTGTTGAAAGTGTGTCCATATCTGCCAGAGTTGGCTAACTTCCTGTGTTAGGTTTACCCACTTCAAGACACGGAATTTGGTGGGAGGCTGAGTCACTAAGCTTAGAGATTGGACAGTGCCTATACTTAAGAACAATGTCAGAAAAGTCAGGCTGCAAAGAATCAAAATGACCAGCTTTAAGTTCTAAATGTTTCTTGAGTGAGAACCTGTTTATAAAAAGTGATGAATAAAAGAGCCTGGTATTTTAAGTTTTGGCCTTTCAGCTTCCATTCAGTATATCCTATCACTTTGTATCCTTTCCTAATTACTGTATTCCATTACACACCATGGCCATTTCCGGTGGTCAGAAATCAGTTTCCATTAGGGAGTAGTAATTACTTTCCTATTAGCTAAAGCTGGTATACTCATATGATACGAAATTTTTGGGTCCCCTGGGTACTTCTTGATATTCATTTAATTCACCCTCTTGGAATTCCTGTCATGTCCTTTTCATCTTTCTATAGCTGTGAGACAGGATTTAAAGACGGGGACCTGTTCATGTCCTACCGGAGTATGTTCCAGGACGTAAGAGACGCTGTTGACTGGGTTCATTACAAGGTATCCCAAGCTGCTGCTTTACCTGGTTGCTCTCTGCCCTGTGTGATATGACCCGACACTAACTTGCCAAGAGCAATCGGAGCGAAGGCTTGCTTCTGTTTAAAAAGAAGGGTCGGGAGCAGGAAACAGTTTGCCTCAGCGGTAGCTTCCTAGAATACATTTATTCTTGTCTGGCCATCCTGGTGATCTTTCCTTAATGGTGAGGCTTGGGTTCTAGATTTTATTTAATTTGTATTTTTCAAACTTATTTAGAAAGCATCTTAGTTTATGACATTATACATAACATTTTGTGGATGATGGTCCTTTTTCACTGAAATATGTCCCACTTGCCTAATAATATTAACTGGTTAATATTAAATTTACATTTACAAGGGCTAGGGTTATAGCTCAGTGGCACAGGTGCCTGCCTGGCAAGTGCAAGGTTCTGAGTTTGATTCCTGGTATCAAAAAATAAAAACATAAATAAATTTACATGTACTATAATCTACTGAATAAAATATGAAACGCCTTTTAATTTCTAATTTAAAATAGAAACAGTTTTTTTTAGCAGTTTTATATTTGAAGACATTTTGGAAGGCAGAGTTACTACAAATCCTATCTGCCACTTTTTCCTGACCTTTTCTAGTTTATCTATTTTTCCATTTTGGTAAATACGTAAGTTCAAGCTGGGTATGGTCGCGCATGCCTGTAGTCATAGCATTCGAAGGCTGAGGCAAAAGGATCACCATGAGTTGAAGGGCAGCCTCAGCTTCATAGTGAGTTATAGTGAACTTCACAGCCAAACTATGGAATAAGACCTTGTCTCAAAAAACAGCAACAGCAAAAACACATACATTCATTTGGATTGATACTAACCACAGGTTTCCTCATAAGCTAAATGCTAAAAACTAAATTGATTCTGTCTTACTTCCTTTGTTTTTTCTTTCCCCTAGGGCTCCCTGAAGGAAAAGACAGTTGAAAATCTTGAGAAGTATGTAGTCAAAGATGTAAGTACTAAAGGGGAAAACAGACCTGCCTGAGAGCTTATTTTACCTATTAAAGAGATGAATAACAAACTTACAAGATGGACAAGAGAAGATAGTCTTTTTTGTAGGATAGTATTTGCTCCGTGTAATAGCCAAGAATTTTCAGCCAAAACATAGGTCTTAGTAGTTTTTTTTGTTTAGTGGTTGATAGACAAGAAGAGCCAGTATTTCATTTGCCCTTTTAGTTGTAGATACAATAGCAAGAAGGTTAGAGTGAGCATATCACCACGTTGTGATGACATGCATTGCACCATCTCCTCTCCGTTTAAATGTGAGGTAGACAGAATTGTTACCTCCATTTTTGTACATGAAGAAACTGAGCAATAGAAGAATTAAATGCCTCACCCAAGACCATACAATAAGTTAGTAAAGCCAAGATTCACACCCAGATTGTAAGCACATGTATGTGGGTATTATTTAAAATGCCTTTAACCTGTCAACAGGAAATAATAAGGAAAGCTTTAAAATAAAGATAAATAGGAAACTGGGAAAGTTTTTTTAAATCTATAGTTTAACAGTATTCAACCAATGTTAACTTTTAAATTTTGATAATTATACTGTGCTTTAGTCAAATGTTGCTATCAAGGGGAGCTCTAGTATTTTCATAACTTCTCTGTAAGTATAAAATTATTTCCAAACAAAAAGTAAACACATAATCCGAAGAAGAGATACCTCTTTCTTTTTCTATAAAGTTGCAAAATGCAATATTTTCTCAAAGTACTGTGGTAAAGTTTTCTTGTTTTTGGGATTCACGTACCCTCTTACCACCTTTTCCCCTCACTATTTCAAGAAAGAACCCTGAATGAAGAGGTTCCGGAGAATTGGTGTGAAGGAAGCTATTTATTGTAAGAGAAGGAAAAGATGCTTCTTTTCTTTGTAAGCACATCAAGAGTTAAAATTTCCTCATCTGCAGGTGGCACGGGAATTTCTAGGTTTCATCTGTGCATGTCATTGCATTCTGCAAGATGAACTGTAAAACCATCGTCAGCTTTGATCTCTAACACACCTAACTCACATTCTTTAGGAAATCATAAGGTGATTTAAATTCCTGAGGCAGACATCATGAGGAAGACGAGAGATACGTTGTTAATGACCATATATTACTTTTTGTGGGACTCTGTGTGCTCTGCATACTGTATACTATGTGTTAATGCTTTATTCATGCATAGTGACAGTGCGGGATTGTAGATGCAAAATTCAGAAACCAACCAGTTTTTAAAAGGCTTGCCATAATTCTATTTTACTGGACAAAAATCTAGTACCTCAAACTATAAATATAAAAGTATTCGTATTTTTTTTTTTTTTTTTTGGTTTTTCTCCGGCACCGGGAACCGAACTCACGACCTTGCGCTTGCCAGGCAGGCGCTTTGCCGCTGAGCTAAATCCCCAGCCCCTTCGTATTTTAATGTTTTGTTCATTATCATATTATATTTCAGGGAAAACTGCCTTTGCTTCTGAGCCGGATGAAGGAAGTAGGCAAAGTATTTCTTGCTACCAACAGTGACTATAAGTATACAGATGTAAGTGCTGAATATTGATATTTGTTTATCAGTTATTAAGAGAATTATTTTAGCCTCAACTACAAAGATCATGAGATGGATAGAAGCTTATTAAATGATGTTAGTTTCTTGCCATTTCAGTTTGAAAGCAGAGTGAAAAAAAAAAAAGAGATAAGGGCCATACCAAAATCATTTTGATTTTTTTCTAAATACTTTTTGACTTCTCCCTGATCACAGTTGGCTACTTGCAGACTTCCATTTTGGGGCATCATAAAGATAAACTAAAGAATTCATACGCTCCCTTCTACATCCCTGCTATTGGAAGTCTTGTAGCAATAAATGGGGCAAAGATGTTTTAAGTCTTAGCCATCAAAATCTACTACTGTACTTTGTTAAAAATTAAAACAAAATTTTTTTCCGTTATTAAAGCATGTAGAAAAAACTACTAACTCCTTACTTAACTTAATCTGAGATAATTACAAGTCAACAGTGATAAGAAGTTCCGCTTGCCCTGATTCTCTTCATGGTTAAAGCTTTGTGAGAGATTATTTCCATGAGTCATTAGTTTTCCGTATACTTTACCTGTTAGGTCTCTTAATCACGTGTGTGCTCCAGAAGTGGGGATGTGGATGAATTTGTATAGAAACACCTGGAAGTATATATCCTAAGAAATAACGGCTTTTTTTCTTTCTTGTATGATGAACCATTAATTTTTATTATATATTTTATGTTATAGATAGAGTAAACAAGAATGTGATGAATCCTGTTGTTGAAAAAGGCATGTTTCATGACAGCCTTGTATGTGATTTGTGTCATGTGTCTTTTGCAAAAGTAGCGTACAGAACTTATGTTTGTACTTTTTTTTTTTTCCAGAAAATTATGACTTATCTGTTTGACTTCCCACATGGCCCCAAGGTACTTCAGTAATTTGGTAGACCACTGCTTTAGTAATAGTGAGCCGTTTAACCATTTTGGGATACTCAGGGAAGGAATTGGTCGGAACCTATCCAGAAAAATCCTGGGTTTTAAGTCTGTTGTCTCATCTTCACTAACATTAGAAGTAATCCAGGAGCTAGAATTTCATGTCAAAATTTTAGCAGTTTTACTACTTAGTAGATAGTAATAAAAAGAGAGTCATATTGTATTTAGCAGAATGGGATCAGAATTTTATGCCTATGAAGTTCTGTGCATAATTATTAGGAATGTATAAGAATGAAATGAATTTTCAGGTTGAGGGAAGCTTTTTGGTGCAAGAAGCAGAAAATATGAATGTATATGTTCCCCAGCGTCGCCAGATTCTGCCAGCAGCTGTTGCTGAGCTTTTTGCCAGGGAGTTAGCAGAGCTCCCATTCCTACTCATGGCCGTGCTGTAGGGGCTGAGCGCCTGTCACCGCGTAGTCGCACACTTCGGGGATTTTAGTCCTCCACGTCCGTGAGTGAGCTCAGCAAATGCGTTTTGGGGTTGCCCGGAACTGTAGTGTGCCGTGCTCCGTAGCTTGGTCTGGAAGAGGAGTGCCGGTGGCTTCAGGGTGGGACTCCTCTGGCTGGCTCTGCTTTCTGTAGCCACGTGGGTACTGCACAGTTTGGGCCAAAGGCAGTGGACACCTAGAGCCATCACTCAGGGAGAACATAGCCAGGGACGTTTTCTGGCATGGCCCACGTTCACCTGCGTTAGTTCTTGTGCTCATCTAGCCCTGCTCCCTATCTGTCCCCTGGGCATCGCTGTGCCAGCTGTGTTCTGCACATCTCAGGATGTGAGCATACTTTTGTATGTAAAGTGCCACGGCACATTACTGCAATGCTGTGGCAGATGGTATGATTTAAACTGTAGTATTATTAGTAATTTATTATTTACACCTGCCTGCTTCCAAAAGGATGTGGCTCATAATTAGCCACAGTGGATTTTTTTTACTAAAATAATGAGGTTTTCTGGTTATACTTAGTGCTTCTAAATTCCTTGCATTTGAGAGTGAGATTCAATACCAGTGTCTTGTTTGAGCTTTTGCTGGTTCTTCCTTACCAGCCCGGGAGCGCCCATCGGCTGTGGCAGTCCTATTTTGACCTGATCCTGGTGGATGCGCGGAAACCGCTCTTCTTTGGAGAAGGCACAGTGCTGCGGCAGGTGGACACCGTAAGTCGGGAGAGTGCTCTGTGGGGTAGCGCACTGTCCTTCAGAGTTCTCCTTACCTCAGTCCTAGCTGCCTTAAGAAAACAGGTATTTTAAATTACTGGCCGCATTTCTCTTTGGAAAGTTGGGGTAGCCTGACAAACCAGTCACTGAAAAGAGCATGTGACATTCATCTGGCTGCCTGGCTGAGTAGTACTGTGGGTGGAGACCGTGATCAGATGATAAAGTAATATATTCTTATATTTCACATTCTCTTCACGTAGAAAACTGGCAAGCTGAAGATTGGCACCTACACAGGCCCACTGCAGCACGGCATCGTCTACTCGGGTGGTGAGTCGCAGTCTCCCCGTTGTGGCCTGAGTCTACGCTCAGACTCTGAAAACTTGGGTGTTCTCAGCACGGTGCCACTGTGCTCCTCAGTATCTGAGATGGCACCTAGTGCAGGCACGTGGTTTGGTCACCTGCTAAAATGTTGGGAGTCAAAATGAGTTTTACTTCCTTTAGAGGGTTCAGTTTCCTCCTCCTCCTTTTACCTTTTGAGACTTTTTCTCCGCAGTATGGATTCGGCTGGGATGTTTCTAAAGGAGCTTTCAGGGAGCCTGGGCGGGCAAACATACTTAGGGTGTTAGGACTACAGAGAGTTGAACACGGCCACTTAACGGCAAATCAGTGATGAAAAATTAAAATGTAGTATTTCAGTTATATTCACTACACTTGAGACGTGTAATTGTGTTGCTCTTGTGTCTGGTGATCAGAGCTCTGGTCAGCACAGTGGAGCTAAAGGCCTTGTGTTAGGGGCAAGAAAAAGAATGGTGAGTCTTCAAGAATGGTCTGTCCTCACACAAGAACACAGCTCATCAGTGCTGAATGGTTATGGTGCTTTGAATGTTGGCTTTAATAGAGACATTTTTGTTTTCTCCTTGTGTATTCCATTATTTCAGGCTCATCTGATACAATCTGTGATCTGTTGGGAGCCAAGGGCAAAGACATTTTATATATTGGAGATCACATTTTTGGAGATATTTTAAAATCAAAGAAACGACAAGGGTGGCGAACTTTCCTGGTCATTCCTGAGCTTGCACAGGAGCTACATGTCTGGACTGACAAGAGTTGTAAGGCGCCGTCTTACTTTTTGTAAATCTGTGATATAGCTAGTTTTATCTAAGTGGGCAGCTCTGATCAGTCCTCTTCTGATAAACGACTGTAATGTATGGGATGAGGTGTTGTCAAAAGGGAGGCCCTGAAATTTGGAGATCTCCTGATGAGAATCTCAGACATTTCGCAGAGCTCTGGAATGTGAGTGTCGGGGGGGTTATCGTGTTTAACTTCCTGAGCCCCCAAGTACAAAACGCCGGTGTCCCGATCTGTAGTCCAGTTGGGCCTATAAGGAACCACGCTTCCCTCCAAGTCTGTGTCTCCAGCCACACTTAGCAGACTTGCTCTCTCTGCTCACAGGCTGTCTTTGTGATTCTGGGGCAGCGGTGGCTCTGAATGTTAATCACCTTTGCTCTTTATCCACTCTTCTGAGAAGCAGAAAATGAGGGCAGATTGTATGCTTGGACGAGCCACTGCGTACGTGCGGTACATACGCTATGTTGAGTTAAGCTGTGGATATAGTTATATAAAGGTTATTTCGCACGTAAGGTCTCCACCCAACTCTAGTGAGTGTCACACCGTGTGGTGAAAGTCACTTCAGAAACTTGGCCTGCCTTGAGTGGGGACCTGGGCACCACACTTAATGCCTGCTTGTTCTGCCGTAAGTTACAGAGACACTCTGTGCCTGAGTTTCCTCAAGTCCAGCAATGGTGATAATATCAGCCTCATGAAGCTGGTGAAACTGCCCTGGGATGGTGTAGAAATAGGTAATAAAGAACAGAGACACAGCCCAACCAAGGCTCTTCTTCTGGACTGTGAAACACAGAAGAAAATGATTCAAATGACTTTTCTCAGTTCTCTTAAAGATGGTGGATAGAAGGAAATGGGCTATAAACACTGGATGCCTTGGGCTTAATTTGCTTGGGAAACCATGCAGTATATGCTGGCTGTTGGGTTAGTGTTGTCTACCATCAGTAACATTTTCCAGCTAGCCTTTTCCCCATGTTTTCAGCTTTCTACCTGTGAAGTTTTAGAAATCCAGATGATTGACTGTCCTATTTCTTGGACTAGTGACCCTGGACAAGTCACCTAGTTCTCAGTCCTTCATCTAAAAATGGAGCCCTCATCCTTTGCTTTGCTGACTGCACTTGAGCCATGTTAGGGGTAGGCATCTTGCAAGCTCAGAATGAGCACGCAGCTGGAAGGGGAAGTTGTCGCCAGTGGTGTTTGTGACTAAGGAGGGGAAAGGGCGCGAGAGGAAATGGTAGTGTTACCTGCTGCTGGGACCCACGCAGGCTGCCGGCGCATTTTCCCGGAGGGGGAGGGGTTCTTTATTCACCTGCGTGTCGCTTGTTAGTGCTTAGCCATAGTTTTGGGTCATGCCTGCAACTTTTTAGTTCTATTTTATAATGTTAAAACTAGTTCTTTTTGTTTGTTTTGATTTATGTGAAACATTTTCCTTCCTTTCCAAATCTTAACAGCACTTTTTGAAGAACTTCAGAGCTTGGATATTTTCTTGGCTGAACTCTACAAGTAAGTTTCCCAATTCTAAAACTTCCTTTCCTAAAAACTGTCTACCTCTTCAGGAGTCACGTAGATGTACGAAATACCGTTCGGCGACTTTCACTGGGTTTTTCCTCTTTGTCTCCAGGCATCTCGACAGCAGTAGCAATGAGCGCCCAGACATAAGTTCCATCCAGAGACGTATTAAGGTATCCAAACAGGACTCGGGAGAAAGCTTGGAAAACCAATTATTGACATGATTTCCATATTTCTGATTCTATAGAGGGACTGGCAGATAGCTGGTACCCGGTAAATATTTGTTGAAATGAACTGTGAGCAATTATTTTTTCAGAAAGTAACACACGACATGGATATGTGCTATGGGATGATGGGGAGCCTGTTCCGCAGTGGCTCCCGGCAGACGCTCTTCGCCAGTCAAGTGATGCGCTATGCTGATCTCTACGCTGCATCTTTCATCAACCTGCTGTATTACCCATTCAGCTACCTCTTCAGAGCTGCCCATGTCCTGGTGAGCAGAATTACCTTGACAGCGACAGTGCACTGTGAAGCAGTGGGATCATAAGTTCGGGGCCAGCCTGAGGAACCTAGCAAGACCCTGTCTCGGGAAGAGTTTGGGCTGTAGCTCAGTCGTACAGTGTTCTTGAGTTTGTTGGATCCCCAGTACTGCGATGATGATGATGGTGAACAATCTAAGACGCAGCTCTGCACCTCAGCTTTGTAGGATGAGCAAAGCCTGCGGGCGGGTTAGGTGGTTGCGTGACCAAAACAGAAGCTTACGGACTGTAACTTTAGTCTCTGAAGTCTAGTGGATGTTACACTGAGCCAGGCATGGTGGCGCACACCTGTAATCCCAGCACTGGGGAGGCTGAGGTAGGAGGATCACTGTGAGTTCAAGACCAGCCTGAGCTACACACTGAGTTTAAGGGCAGTCTGAGTTACATGACAAGAGCTTGTCTCAAAAAGAAAAAAGTTACACTGAATGGAGAAGGCTTTCCTTTTTGTCACTACTAATTAAAAGACACGTGGCTTTATTTTTTTATTCCTACATTCTGATAGTAATTGGCTTCAGCACTAGCTATTAAACAGGAAGTCAGGATCTTTCTTTTCTGTCTTACCCAGTTTGTTTTGGGGGTAGGAGAAAGGCAGTTTCAGGCAGTAGGTCTATGAAGATATATTTTAATGATTTTATCTGTGGTCCACTATAGACATAATTCTGTGTGGTTGTCAAACAGAGGAGAAAGGTTGGGATCTGGGAAGAATGATTAGGATTATTGCCCTCGGCCTGTATTCTGATCCCCTGGCTTGGTTCTAGATGCCTCACGAATCAACAGTGGAGCACACACACGTGGATATAAATGAGATGGAGTCACCCCTTGCCACCCGGAACCGCACATCAGTGGATTTCAAAGACACTGACTACAAGCGGCACCAGCTGACAAGGTCGATCAGTGAGATCAAACCCCCCAACCTCTTCCCACTGGCCCCTCAAGAAATTACACACTGCCACGATGAAGATGATGATGAGGAAGAAGAAGAATGAGGAAAGCCCAGACCCTGACCATCCATTAAACAAGTGCTGGCAGAACTCCGGGAGCAAAGGCTGTCCTTGTCTGGGCGCTCTCGGGGAGGGTGGGGTGCTCCTTCAGAAGTGCATCTGGAAAGCTTTTGAAGACTTTAAAATATCTAATCATAGAGAGATACTTGTTTTAGTTTTGTGTACCTATATTTTTTGTGGAATGGTTCAAAATTGTATTGGAGTCTGTATGGGAAGGAAGCGTAAGGGTCCAGTCAGGGTGAGCTGCGCACAGTGGGCTCCATGTGGCTTGTGTGTCACGTGTCCTTGTCTTTCCACCTTCGGTGTGTATCCAGCACACGGAGCGTGGGAAGCGGATTCAGAATGCTGGATTGTTTCAGATTGTGCTGTTACTCTAAAACCTCACTTTTTCAGTGCACTACACAGTATTGTATGCCAGTGGAGAAATACATTGTTCCCAGTACCCATTTCTTTTCATGAGCCATTGAATATCCTCAGCGAGCCCGGCAAGGCTGAGGCTGTCAGTGCCTTTCCAGAATATTCTCCATGTAGGGCCAGGCTGGCTGGACTGCAGACTCTTTGGTGAAGCAAAAATCCTCATCCTTTTTACATTTTTTTAGGTTGTGAGAGCACAGATGCTTGTTACCTAAAAACGTAGTATTTTTCTCATCTGATAAATCTGCCAAGGAATATAGTTGGAAGAAGACAAAGGAGCACACCGCCAGAGGAGGAGAGAACGTGCCTCCTCCTCAGCTTACTGCAGACCCGAGTAAAGCTCATCAGTGTGACCTGTAATGTGGTCCCTGCTGCCCAGCCCCACATTGCCCCTACGTTGGGTTGATCGCTGTAGTTTAAAGTTGAACGTTAAAGGGTAAGAAGAGGGCATGGTAAGCCAGAGCCTTACTAGAGCAGCAGGCACGACCAGGGAGAGTAAGCTCGCTGCAGAGCCCCCGTGGGGTCACCTCCTGTGTTGGACGCGAGTGACTCGGTATTACTGCACACGTTAGGGCCTCCCGGTGAGGGAAGGCTGTTCCGACACTTCCGACAATGGTGAGATTCTTACCTAAACCGTTGCGTATTGTCTTACATTCTTACTGTCACTGATCCACAGGGGAGGAGAGGCTAGTTGCTCTAGAATTCTATAAAGTGTCATCTTTCTAGTACTGACTTTGACACCTTCTGTAGCACAGCCGAATAAATACTGGTCTTTAAGTAGGTTTAGGTTTGGTTTTTAGTGACATCACTTTTAACATTTTAAGGAAAATAAACATTTTCAAAAAATGCTAAATAGTCTACATCTCTTGGTTAAAAGGAAGTACTCCCAAACAGATAGTCTCACATGATTGTATCTGTAGTCCTTCACAGACTTTAGAATTTTTCCTAGAAAATGTTTTGGCACAAGATTATGAAGTGAGACTTTTTAAAAGTCATTTTGTAGGTAGGGAACCCAGCTCAGTAGTTTCTCCATGTACTGTGCGCACTGCCTCAATACACGTGGCTGTAGATTAACTCACGCCAAGAGACATATATGCTGAGTGCTGTCTGCAGGGAGTGTGTGCTCCTGTTAGGAGTCAGGGGAGAAGGGCTTTTGCAAATAACGATTAGGTGCTGCCCCTGTTTTAAAGTTTTAGACTGTCGCCCCAGTCACTAATTAGTCTCAAGGGGAAGATGCTGGCCATTGTGACAGTCTCAACTTTTCCACACCTAAATCTTTAATTATGATTATGGTTACCTTATAATAAATAGTACGTTTATATATTTTCCTTTTTAGAGCACAGACCAACACGATCACACTCTTTACTTGTCACACTCTTCGTATTGGCATAAGAAGTTACTAGGCACTTTCCCGGCAGTCAGCTGACTCACTGGATGGAGACTGAGGGGAGAAGCGGTACACGATGGGAATTAGAAACCCACTGCTAGTCCCGCTTCGCTCAGGACCACAGAACACGAGAGCTGGGACCCCACAGGGAGTCCAGGAGCAGAGCAGCGTGGTGCTTGGCATGGAAAGTGTGTGCCCGAGAGTGAGTGTGTCTGTCCAGGCACTGGCGTTGCTGTGCCTGTCAGTAATTAAGGAAGCTAAACTTAAAATACATACTTTTCCTTGGGTGAAAAACCTAAAGAATTTGGATCATGAGATGACAGATGGTCTATCTCTTGAGAAGAATTTTCCTGCGTGTTATGAAAACAGTACTTACAACCTTTGTAGACTACCAGGCACCCCTTCCTGTTCTTCCCAGGTGGAACTGCAGACCTCAGAGCTTGTACTAAACAGGCCCTGGTCGGAGGCACGGCGGACCCAGGTCCAGCTGGCTTCCCGCCGGGAGAACGCCCTCTCTGCACATTCATCTCTGCAGAGACACTCAGAGCTCGGATGGTGTATTTCAGAAACAGTTTTTGAAACCAAGAGAGTTTAGTGTTCTGCTTGCGACCTAAGATTTTTCTTCTTTAAGTGTAGTAACTGTGTTAAAACCTAAAATAACCAAGCAAGCCCTTCAAGCTACCCTAAGATGCTTTTAGAAGTGATTTTTAGTAAAACTACAATAACTGAGAGCTACAAACTCTTAATCATGTTGGAATTGTTCTTAAGAAATCACTTACAAAAGCCACATGCTGTGCATGTCAGCTCTAAAAGTATGCTGGGCATGGTGGGCATGGTGGTTCACGCCTGTAATCCCCAGCAGGCTGAAGCAGGAGGATCACCATGGGTTCAGCGCCAGCCTGGGCTACGAAGTGAGTTCAAGCCTGAACTACATAGCGAGAGCCTGTCTCACACGCAGAAAAAGTACTTTGTCCATGTTTAGCTATTTCTAAATTAGATTTGTTTGTTTAAGAAATATTTTGTCAACAACTTTAAAGCCCTCAATTTTCCAAAGGCTGCCTGGGCATTTTTAAATACTCTGCTTAGTCACTACAAATAGCCTGGGACAACTGCACGTGGGTACGAACCTTGTCCACATTCCATGCTACGGAAACTATTTAACCTCTCTGAGAGTGGGAAAAATGGTAACTATGACCCAGCTATTGCCATACCATTGAGAGCCCGATTCCTCTCCTGGCTTCGTGTAGGGCTCGTTATGTTTCTCATACATTCTTTCTCGGTGACCAGGACTTGCGGCTTTTAAATGTTGTCCTCAAAAGGAATAATTGCAAGGGCGAGGCAACTTTCGGAGCCCCTGAGAACGGAGCCTCGCCGCGGAGTCCTTGGCAGCCCTGTGAGGAGGCCCTGGGTTCGCACTGCTCCGGGAGGGGTGGCGAGCGCATGTGGCCGTCGGGAAGCGGCGCAGGCGGCTTTCAGAAACTGCCGCTGCCCTGCCGCGTCTCCACACCTGCACCTGCGCCTCGGTGGGCCCCGCTGCGCAGGGTCTGGGGCGGCAGGAGGCAAACCATCTAAAGAGAGTCTGTTCACCAGAGAAGTTCTGTCCTCAGCCGTTTGCCCTTGTCATCTTGCATCCTGCGGCTACAGGTCTTACAAAGCTGTGCGGTTTCCAGAGTCGGAGGCAGCCACGCGCTGGCTGCACAGCGCCGTCTGTCACCAGCAGGGCTCACCCAGCAAGGCGGTGCGGCGTCAGCGCCCGGGGGCGCTGCCCCGGCTGTGTGCGAGTGCACCCTGCGCCGTCACACGGCGAAGTCACCTCGTGCCCCTTCTCTGCTGGCCCCGCTGTGCAGACACGTGACGCGAGTCAGCTCTCCGCAGAGCTTTCGCACGGCCAGGCACTCCTAACCGAGCACCAAAATGTTTGCATCTCAAACTGTGTGTGCACTGTATTTTCCAACTTAAAACAAAATGCTCAGTTTTGAATTTGACCTCAATATTTCATAATGCAAAATAACATGCAGTACCTGGGCTCCATTTTACTAAAGTAGAGCAGGCCAGTGGCTTCACGAATTAAGTCAGGCACAGACGTGTCCCGCGTGTTCTGCTGTCCCACTGAGTGCTTCCCAGACAGCTGTCAGTGCGGCCTGAGAGACTGAGCGGGGTGGCCTTCCCACGCGAGGCCAGGCAGCAGGGCGCACATCTTCCACGGAGCACGGGTGGCGGTGGGCCTGGCAGGTCTCACAAGTCCTGGGATGCTTTGGAAAGAGGATTTGCCTGTAAACCCTCCTGACATTGAGATGTGTTTATTAACTGTCCAGTCTCCTTTTTTTTTTTTAAGCTAGGATCTCAATGTGTAGTTCAGGCCGGCATTGACCTCACTAGGGATCCCAGCCTGGCCTTGAAGTTGAAGTGATCCTCCTGCCTCAGCCTGAGTGCTAGGATTATAGGTGTGAACTGCCACACCCGATGGGAGTCTCTCTTGAGAGGGTTCTCCCTGGAGGTGACCTTTGACTTGTGGGTATGGGTATTTTGAAGTAACCTCACGTTTGGATCCACTGCTCATAACTCAAATTTGAGCAGAATTACAGCTCAGCCTGCAAGCTGTGTCCAGCGCTCGCCTGCTGTCTGAACACCTCGCAGGCACTGGCCTCCTCACGGGGAAAGTGCACTGGCAGGAGTCCAGCAGTGGTCTTCCTCACAGACGTGCGCCTCCTCAGCCCAGTCATCCATGGGGGACCAGAAGGTCACCGAAGAAAGCATCCTCTCCACCCTTCCTCCTGGACTTGTTGAAAGTAGGCGCACAAGCCGGGCATGGTGGCGCCCGCGTATAATCCTAGCTGGGGAGACTGAGGCAGGAGGATGGCCACAAGTTCCAGGCCAGCCTGGGCTACATAGCCAGACCCTGTCTCAAAAAAAGGGACACTGGCAGGAGCTCCTTGGGGAGATGATGAAGCAATGACACAAAGCAAGAGTTTACTAGCCATCTAATCCAGCTTTGGGGCTGTAATAAGGAATCAGGCTCTAGCAAATTTAGCCTCAAAAACTTTTATAAAAGTTCCAGAAAGCAGTTCCAGGCTACAAAAAGGTCATCTTGTATTTGTCATTTTCTCCCTAAGACCATCTGATCAGCATGTGTCTTGCTGGCAGGGAAGAGAAAGGCTCGGACACAGGCACACCTCCTCCCGCTCCTCCTCCTCCCAGAGGTGGGAGTGACAGGAGGCGGTGTGGGGTAGGTCCGTGTGTGAGGGGGTTCCTCGGGCACCTCCGCAGCGTCTCCGCCCACAGGGCAAGTGTACGGAAAACGTTGTGGGGGCGTGCCGAAGTACAGTGCGGGCCACACGGTGAGTCCCGAATTTCCAATTCTCAGCGTGATCGGCTTTCGAATGTGAAGTACCTGGAGGCGGGGGGAAAGATTCCAGGGAGAATATGGCCTATGAATGGACCACAGGGGCCCTGAAGCTCAACCAAAGGACCTTTAGGGACAAGCTGCGTACAGGAGAGGAGGGACATAGGACCTGGAGTAGCAGTGATCATATGCGGCTTGGTGGGGGATGGGGGCATCCGCTGAGTCCTGCAGCCACCGGAATGCGCCTTCCCATGCTCGTGCCAGCTGTGTGTAATGGAGGGTGATGCATCCACGCCCGCTCCCACCTTACAGGTTTGACAAAGGAAGACCTATAAAGCCATTCTCATGTGCAAGAGCCAGTTGAGAGCCTGCACGAAGCTTCTGCTCTTGCCTAGGCAAACCCACATGCTGTCCTTGGCCAGCTGGACCGTACACTGGGTGCAGCCCAGCCAGTGTCCAGGCAGGCTGACTGGATACTCGGGAGTGCCCCTCCTCACCTAGAGATGAACTGATGCGGAACTGGCCTCAGTCCCCCAGAGGCTTGTATTAGTCACTTGGCACTGAACTTGCGGCCATTTCTGTCAACACAAGACAGTGTCTTGTCCAGAGACGCCCTGCCCTGCTGCGGGGCGGGATGAGACCTCACCCCGGCTTTCCCGCCCGCAGAGTCACGCAGTTGGGCAGAGGCTGGGACTGGACCAGACGGCACGCTTGGCCGTGTACAGATGAGGGGAAGGAGGGAACACACATCTAGAAGGGTGAACAGAAAATCATCGTTTATCTAAATAGAATAATAGAAATAAACAAAAACCTTTTAAAACAATCACAAAATTTACAAATAAATTGGTACAAAATAAATAGAGATTGTAAATCTACAACATCATTGAGTTATAAATGCCTGCGACAGTCGGCTCGGAGCCCTACACACTCGACTTGTGCTTGTTCCCCTTCACCCGGTTCTGGGAGCCGCGCTCGGAAGAGCTGCGCTGCCCACAGCGTGAAGTGTACCCCGCAACGGGGAAAGGCGGGTGGAGGCCGAGGAGGACGACAGACAAAGCAGGGTTCACGTGAGGCCCGAGGCAGCGTTGGCACGGGGCCTTGACACCAGGGAGAGGCATAGGAAGAGCCCCGATGGGCTGGCAGCGCCCGTGGGCTGTGGAGATGGACTCTGCACTCCCAGGCGGCCGCAGCAGCCATCGCTGTGGGGCCAGGCAACTGACCCGGCTCGGGAGGAGGAAAACAGGTTGTCTGCGAGCCATGCTGTCCCGCCGCACAGGAGAAGACCCAGCCGCGGGGCGGGGGAGGGCCTGAGAGGCCCCGCAAGGTGGGAGACCGGCCCGGCTGTCTCCCCAGGCGCGGGTCACCGGAGGGAGGCGGCCGTAGGCGGGCCGGGACGCCAGGGCCACAGAAGAGCAGCATGTTTTCTTTAAACGAAACAACAGACCATCGCCCTCTCACCCAGCTTCAGGGACAACGAAGCCCTAGGCTCCGCGGGTGAGGGCTGCTTAGTCACGGACGATGGGCTAACAGAAGAGGCGTATGTACAAAATAAATAATATAAAATAAGACATATACACTTGTGAATTTAAAGGACTCCAGAAACCAAAGTCAGTGGTTGCTACACTCCACCTTCCCAGACACCAGACGAAGGAATGAATCAGAAGCTAGGGTGGGAGTCTCGGGCGTGAGGGGCCAAAGGCCTCGCTCTCCCCACGTCCCTCCCTCCGAGGGCTGGGACACCATGTTTGCGATACAGGCCCGATTCTCCAAGGAAGAAGGCGGGTGCCTAGGCGCACCAGACCCCGGGACGGCTCCCCTCAGCTTTCCTCCTAAGTGACACCGCACTGGCCACTCACGCGCCGCCCTCCGCCCACCGTGGGCCTGGGCTCCGCACGCAGCAACTCCCGAAAATGTCGTCCGTGCACTCAGTCTTGCTTTCTCGTGTACCGGACCTCCACAGCACATAAACCTTCAAACAGGAACACCTACAACCGGACTCCTGCCGCTAGAACCTCTGGCTCCATGGCGTCCTAAGTGCCACCTGGGACGTCCCGTCCACGGGTGCTTACACGTCTAGCTGTGATGTCAGTGGCTTTGGCATCCGCAGGAAGATGACGGTCTAAGCAGCAAAGCCTCCCAGCCCAAGGCAGGGGAGGAAGGCTGCGCCCACGCTGCAGTTGCTCTGCCGGCCCTCTCCCGTCCTGAGCAGGGTGGGACGGCGAGAGCGGGGCGCTGCGGAGGAGAAGCCGGCAAGCAAGCGCTGGCTGCAGGCAGAGAGCAGGCAGCTGCTGGAGGAACGCCTATTGGTCACCGCCATGAAGGACAGCACGGTGTGGCAGGCCTGGCCCCGGCGCCACTCACTCCTCGGGGAGAGGTACTGAACCCCAACCTAGCAGCTCTGGGCCCATTTCTCTTATCAGTTCAATCACAGAAGAAAAATTAACAGCCCTGAGGTATGAAAGTCCACTGAGTAGGTCACTTATTGGTAAGTCTATCAGAAAAAAGCCTCAGAATCCCAAGTCCACTTTCATAGTCAACTCTACGTCCTCCCTAACGCTGGGTTCACCAAAACCCACCCAGTTACCCTTGCAGGGCAGCAGCACCGCAGCCCAGAAGGGAAGCACGGAGCCCGGGGCAGAGCGGCGTCGAGCTGCGGAAGCTGCCCGGCCGCCCCCTGCCCGCTCAGCCTTGCGTTCTCACCCTCTGCCAGAAGCGCCTGTCTGCGGCTCTGGGTGAGCGCGGGGGAGCCGTTCTCGGCCACATCCGGGGGAGCCACGGAGGGCGGGCCGGGGGCCCCTTCTCGCACCACTCCGGGCCGTCTGCCTGGGGTCAGAGTTCGGGGAGGCCGCTCACGCTGGGCCCAGGCCTTCAGAGGGCGGCGGGGCCGGCGGCGTCCTCCCAGACGGGACGTAGGCTCAAACCAGCCAGTGCCCACTTGTCTGAGGGAAGGAGTCCATGGTCCCGACCTAGCTCCGGACCCTGTTGCTCCATTTCCTAGGGAAAGTGGGTTTCTGTGTGAATCTGCTGTCACTTTCCTAGGCTTGGAGAAGCGCGTCCTTTAGCTGCGTGGAATGGGGCTGGCAGGCTGAATCCATTCACAGTCCGTGTTCCATGTTAGTGTGAAGCTCTGCACGCAGCGCCTATTTGTACAAGTCCCTTGAAATGCCACGAGAAGGCAGTGGCAAAGGCGCGGCGCCCACCGCCAGGGACCAGCTGTGCCCGTGCCCGCACGCGAGGCGCCCTGCAGGGAGCGGGGCAGGGGCAGGAAGAACTGAATCGTGTGTGGCACCCTTTCAAATGACCTAAGAACCAAGGGTTAAGCCAGTTGATTCGAGCCCCCGAAATCCACGCACAGATCACAGGGTCCTGTTTGCCCAAGAGTTTAAATAAATGATTTTGGACTTGCCTGATAAATACAGAGCAGAACAATGAAGGGAAGGAACCGCTAAGACAGGAGGAAGAACCCTCCTTATTTGCAGAGAGAAGGCAAAGTGTCCTGGGAACATTCAGACACGAGGAATCCGGCTCCAGGGCCGCCGAGAGGAGGTGGGGGCCTGGCCAGCGAGCTCCGCGCATCCACAATCCCTCCTACACGGGGACACAGCTGAGGAAGGATGACCCGGCCGGGGCTGCCAAGAGGGCGCCGGCGCACGTCAGCAGTCCAACTCTCTGCTGTCTCGGCGGGGTCAGAGCTGCTGGCCCTGCTGGCCCCACCGCCGGGCCTTCCCGGCCGGGACCGCGCACCCGGCCCAGAGGAGCAGGGACCGCACGTCTCCTCCAACCGCCTGGGGTCGGTGTCCAGAGGGAAGGGGGCCCAGAAGAGGAAGCTGATCACTCAGCTGGGGCCCTGTGTGCAGGGAGAGCAGATGTGAGCACAGCCAGATGTCCACGTCCACTCTGCCAGGGGCCAGACAGGAGCTATTTTTGGATACCTTGTTATAAAACAGCATGAATAATCAAAGGCGAGAGCAGTTAGTTAACAGGAAATGACTGCAAACTTGTGGGCCAAAGCCTCGCCCTTGGGAGCCCTGTGGGGCTGCTCTGCCTGCCCTGGGGGGGACTCCGCGAGCCACCTCCCCCAGGTGACAGCGCGGCCAGGCTCAGCCCACGGCCGCACACCGCGCAGGAGGCGCCGCACCGGATGCCCCGGGCCGGAGCAGCGAGGAGGCCGCTCCCCAGGGCCGCTGGCTCAGCCTCCAGGGGAGGTGGCAGTTGCTGGGGAGACCCCTGCCCGGGCCAGGCCCACGTTCGCACTGCTCCAGGCACTCTCGCGACACACGCGTCACGCCGGCGTGTCCAGCCGGGTGGTCTTCCAAGGGGGGCAACTGGCAGCGTGGGTCCATCAAGGTCCTCCACGCGGCAGGGGCTCCTTCGCCGGCACGGGGTAGGGCCAGCGGAGACCTGCAGCCGCCTTGGGGACATGCACCCCCGAGGAAGACTCCAGCACTGTCACCCCCACCCTGCTCCCCAGAAAGCCAGCCCAGCGTCACCCCACAGAGCCGGGGCTTGCAGCCCGGGCAGGGCAGGCGGCTGGGGGCGCGCAGGCGGGTGGAGACCGCGGCCGCGCGTGGGCGAGCGCCGGGCCAGCGCCTGAAACTCAGACAGAGCTAGGATTCAGCGCAGGAGACACCGCCGCCGGGGCGCCCGCACGCGCGGGACGTTCGGTAGCGGGGGGCGCAGACGCGGGAGCGGCCGGGCCAGCGAGGAGGCAGCGCCGCGGCCCCGAGCCCCTCCTCGGGGACACGGTCCGGAGCGCCTTCCCCAAGGCCAGCCCTCCGCGGGACCGGCGCGGGCCGGCCGCTCGCGAACGTCACTTCGGAGACACACTCCTTCCGCGGAGCGAAGCCCTCCGCGCGCGGAGCCCCGGGGGACAAGTCCGTCCTGTGGGGTCCCAGCGCGGCCCACAGCAGAGTTCGGACAGAAAGATGTAAAACTCTGCAAAAGACACTTTTAAAAAACATGATCTCTTGAAAAAATAAACCGCGACAATTCTCAACTTCATGCAAATTGAGGGAGAGTGAGTAATGATAAAGGTACAGCTGAAAAAATAAACGCGGTTCTCTCCGGGCAGCGGGCGCCTCCGGCCGGCGCCGGCCCCAGCGGTCGCCCCGCCTCCGCCCCGCCTCCCCGTCCCCGCGGCCGCCGGGAGGGACGGTCTTTGGTCTCAGGACGCCGCAGCCGCAGCCGCGGCAGGCCCGCACCGACCGGGTCCGGGCGGGCGGCCTAGATGGCGCCCTCCCCGTGCAGGCTGTGGTTGGCCTTGGCGTGCGCCACGCAGTTCTGCTCGGTGAGCAGGTTGGCCGTCTCGTCCGGCAACCCGTCGTGCAGCTCCGTGAGGGTCAGTTCGATCTTAGTGTTCTCACTGTCCGAAGACGGAGGGGTTTTGTCCATGCGGGATGCCATCAAGGCATTTTGGTATTGCTGTCTGGAGATCTGGGGCCGGACACAAACCGAGACAGTGCACAGCGTTAGGCGCTCAAGCTCTGCGCGTGCCCCACATCGCAGCCCCCAAGCCCCGCAGCAGCTGTTCGATGAGAAAAGGCATCCCTGAGTATAAGCAAGCCATTTTCTATTCTTTGAGATGGAGGTCTCTACTACAGGTGAGTGCCCCAGCACATGGCTTAAACTGACCACTCTGAAGTCCAAATTGACTTAGAAGAACAAGTCAATTCTCAGTGACATAACCTACTTCCAGCTGGGCGTGGTGGCACATGCCTGTAATCCCAGCACTTGGGAGGCTGAGGCAGGAGGGTTGTTGCAAATTCAAGGCCAGCCTGGGCTACATAAATGAGCTGGAGGCCAACCTAAGCTGCATAATAAGATCCTGTCTCAAAAAGACAAAAAGCAAAGCAAAACAAAACAAAACAAAAACCCCAAAGACATAACCTACTTCCAAACTTTGTCTTAAATGGCATAGCCAGCCAGGCATGGTGGCACACTCCTATAATCCCAGCACTCAGAAGGCTGAGGCAATAGGCTCATTCCCACTCTCCTGGTTCAAATAGTGAGTTCAAGGCCAGCCTGAACTACATAGCCAGACCCTGTCTCAGAAAGAAAGAAAAAGAAAGAAAGAAAGAAAGAAAGAAAGAAAGAAAGAAAGAAAGAAAGAAAGAAAGGCTGGGGATGTAACTCAGAGACAGAGGGCCCTGGGCTTGATCCCTTGTACCATTAAATGCACACATACAGCAAGACCCTATCTCAAAATAAAATTAAATAACTAAAAAGCGCAGAGCAATAGCTCAGCGTAGAGTGGGATTCACCTGGCGCTCATGCACCAAAGCTGAGGACAGAGTGTGCTGCTCCCCAGCCGGGTCCAGCACGGGGCGGGGCAGGGGCGGAGCACCGAGGGGGGGGGCTGTCAGCCCCTCCTTGCTCACCTTGACAAACTGCAGGTCGGAGAGGGCCCGCACGGAGTAGTCGGGGATGTAGACTTGCAGGAAGGAGGAGTTGAGCTGGTTGTTGCTGCTGCCCAGCGTCGGTGTCACTGCGTCCAGCCGGTCACTTCGACTGAGGGAGTCTGAGTGGTTCAGGCCGCACGGGCGCGGAGGTGACTTGTTTTCCCCTGGAACGGGAGAGCAGCCCCCTCAAGGTGACGCACATACAGCGGCAGTCCGTTCCCACATGGGAACAAAATCGCCAGACAAGCTCCACCGGCTCGGAGCAGCCGGCGATGGGGGCATCCCACCCGGCCTTGTCTCCAGCTGCTCGGGGCCAGCACACCTGTCTCGCTGCCCACGGCCAGTGCCCCATCCCTAACAGCACAGGCACCGACACTGTGAGATCGCAGTGGGAGGACAGCGGGTAGAGGCCCGACAGACGCACCCCATCCGAGGTCAGCTCTTGCGCACTTTGCCGAAGCGAAAGTAAAGACGAGATGCTCAGGAAGCAGGAGGCATTATAAAGAGAACAAGTACTTCTGTCTGCTCAGACCACACTCCCAGGCAAACCTATTATTACCTCACTCTGATCCCAGTAATAACCCCTCCACAGCCGGGGATGCCTCAGTATCCAAGAAAAAGAGGCTTGGCTCAGATAGCTCAGGGGCCGAAGGGTCCTCCAGTGAGATTTCTGATGACCTTCTTTCATTAAGATAAAGTGATGGGAAGGGGGAGGCAGAACTGCCATGAGTCTGAGGCCAGCCTGAACTACAGAGTAAGACCTTGTCTCAAAAAAATCATAAAGTAAAAGAATTGGGTGTGGTGATGCATGCCTGTAATCCCAGCTCTCTGGGAGGCTGAGGCAGGAGGGTTGCAAGTCTGGGCCCAGCCTGGGCAACACATGACTTACTGAGAAACTGTCTCAAAATAAAAAAAAGGGGGGAGGTGAGGATGCGGCCTAGTGTGAAGGTCTTGGGTTCAGTCTCCAGTGCCACCAAAGACAGAGAGACAGAGAGAGAGAGAGAGGGAGAAAGGAAGGAAGGAAGGAAGGAGGAAGGAAGGAAGGAAGAAAAAGAAAAGAAAGAAAGGGAAAGGAGATGCGGATGAGTGTTCCACTCTTTCAGGAAGAGTGCTGTGTTTTTTAATATAAATTTCATGAAAAATAACCCACCTAAGGCCTCTTCCATTGTGCTTTTCCCAGCAACTCCTGCACAGCTATGAACTGGGTGCCCACAGCGGGCAGTCACATGCACGGAGTGGGGGACCCGCTCTCCCACCTGAGGGCGGCTGCTCTGCTCCCCCGAGCGGCTGGCCCGCAGCAGCTGCCTGTCCAGCAGCCATCAGAAAGTCTGTCACGGGGCCAATCCAAACCTGCCACCCTCGCTTCAGATGCCGGAGGCTTTCAGTCCCCTCACTGGAGCAGCCTGGAAATTCTAGCTATGTTTTCCTGAGGCCCTCCCCCGCCGCCACTGCGCGAGCCTTAGCAACCCACAGCCCATGCTGACCGCCACCTTTGAGCTGGAACGAAGCCGCGGGCTGCAGGACTCGGGGGCGGAGGTCGCCGCGTTCATGCCTGCGCTTGCCGCGCCTCAGCTAGTTCCCCACGGCTCCTCACACAGATAGGAGCGGACCCGCAGGCCCTCCCGCAGTGTGCTCATGTTCCAAGAGAACAGCCACATGCATGGCTTAGCAACGCTTTATCCTGAGCAGAAGGGAAGTGGGAGCTCGCGCCCCAGCTCCGTCTCCCCTGAGAACGTTCACAGTCGCAGCATCCGTGTCCCGCTGTCGACATGTCCTGCCCTTGCCTCAGCCTCCCTCACCCCCACCGCGCACCCGCTCTCAGGCCCAAACCCGTCCCAGGAGGACGCGCCCACCAGTTCTCGAAAATAAGGGGTGCCTGCCCTCCCGGGCCTCAGCCCCGAGTCTGTTGCGACTCCTGCGGAGCCGAGCCCTCCGCGTCGCTCACTTCCAAGCGGGAAAGTTAAAGGGAGCAAAGCCGGGCAGCGGGGCACGTGGCTTCCCAGCCAGAGCCAGGAGCTGGCAGGTGGGCGTCAGCCCCACGCATGTCCGGGCCCTGTTGGTGACCACTGCCCTGTTGCTGCGGGAGGGACTCTCTCCTCGGTCACCACAGCCGCCGCGGGGAGAAGCAGCCTGCTTTCCTGCGGCGCAGCAGGTGCGCTCAGCCCCGTCGGACCCAGCGCGGAGGAACCGATACAGGCCCGGGCCTCCCCAGGCCTGCGGGCGGCAGCGCCTGAAATGTGGGAAGACGGGGTGCACACATCCCCGCCACTCTGGGGCCGGCCTGCGGTCGGATGTGCCCCACAGTGGGCCTCACGAGGACCCGCAGGCCGCGACGAAAGCCGCAGGGACCGTGCCTCGCTCTGGGTCGTGCTTCATCCCCAGGCGCATGGGCCGGGGTTTGGTGACAGTGATTATGGAAAGCCTCACGCCCTGTGTGTCTGCTCCGCCCTGTGACTTTGTTTCCTGCTGCCTGTCCTGGCTTATTCTGTCTATCCTGCCTAGGAACCCTCCTCTTCCGGCAGGAAGCTAGAAGACACAAGAAAGACACCGCCCGCGTCCTCCCTGGAAGGGGCGGCACCCTCGGAGAGGATGGAAACGGTAGGTTTAGTCCAAGCCCTGTTCCCCAGGTATCACCTTACCGTGACCCGAGCAGCCCTGCAGGCTGCGCCCCAAAAGGTGGACTTTTCTATTCTGGATCAGATGGTGTGACCAGAACTAAGAAATCGCTAAGTTGTACAAGCAAAAGCAAAATACAAATAACCTTTCTATGGGCTTCAGCCAAAAGTCATCTACTTCAGCATCTCGGATGTAGTAAATAGCAGAAGCCGGGTATGGGGCACGCCTGTAATCCTGCACTCGGGAGGCTGAGGCAGGAGGATCACTGAGAGTTCGAGGCCAGCCAGGGCTACATAGAGAGTTCAAGGCCAACCTGAATTGCATGGTGAGACCCTGTCTCAAAAAATAAAAAAAATAATAAATAGGTAGCAGACACAAGAAATACAATGGAGGGCTGGGGATATAGCTCAGTGGCACAAGTGCCTGCCCGGCAGGCGCAAGGTCCTGGGTCCAATTCCCTGTACCAAAAAAAAAAAAAAAAAAAAAAAAAAAAAAGAACTCACGTAAAGAAATACAATGGGGAGGAAAAATATAATTGTGCATAGGCACATCCACACATGTGCATGCATGTGTATGTACACAGACATATTGTGCTGGCTGGTTCGATTCAAATAGTTCTGTGGATTATATTTCAGCCCTAATACACTTCTAAGCAAAGATCCAAGGAGACGCTAGTTTCCTTCTAAGACAAGGACTGCCTCCTCCATCGAGTATCGGCGCTGAAGAGCTTTATTGAAAGTGGATTATGGATTGCAAATTTCATCACTCAGGCTTAAAAATAGAAACTGTGTGGGACAAAACAATACGGAAAGACCGTGTACCCAATAGGAGAGCCTAGCGATTCTAATTACGGGGAGATTAAGCCTTTCCCCTCCTCTTGAAGGCTGTAGCTACCAGCCAGGCGCAGCGAGCGTCTCCTGCAGAGGCACAACCAGCAGCTAGTTAAGAATGTGCCAGCAACACAGAGAAGCAGGACCGGCCGGCGGGGGGCGGAACGCGCGCGCCCATTCGTGTGCACGCTGGAGAGAGCACCGCAGAGGCGGAGAGCAGCCGGCCTCCGTGAATGGGGCATGTCCTTGTTGCCAAGTTCCCGGTCCTTCAATTCTGGCCAAGTGCATGCTACAGAAGATGACCGGCGTCTGCCCCCAGGGCCCCTGTAAAGCCCACACCTCTGACTGCCTGTGGCTGAGGATTCCCGGCCCGCAGGGCCTGCGCATGCTCCATGTCAGCCCCTCTCCCTCCCGGCACAGGTCCCGGATCCCAGCAGCTCTCTCTGCAGCGGCTGCGGCTATGCTTTCCTAGATGGCTCACTGCTAACTCAGAGAACCTACGGTGCTAGGGACCAAACAGAGGGAGAAGCCGTGCCAGCGGGCTTTCTAGGGGCCAAGGGTAGGCAACTGGGAGAAGTAGGAAAAGGAAACATGCAGAATTACCTGGAGAGCCTGCTGCTAACAACTGTGTTCTGCTGACAACAAAGGTACGGGACAGGGACAAAGGAACTGAAAAATGGAGAGAAACAGGGTGAGACCGTATCAGAAGGCAAGAAAGCCGATCTCTGTAGTCACAGGACAGGCGTGGGTACTGTTTCTTCCCATCTGAGCGTTCAACCCCAGAAACCAAAGCCCGTGCGGCAGGAGGTGAGCAGAGACAGCACACACGGCTTCTGCGAGGAGGGCGAGCGGGAGCCGCGGCCGGGAGAGGGCTTTGCACATGCAGCGTCTCTAGCCCAGCAAGCGCGTGAGCGGCACCGCCCCGCCGGGGTCCAGCGCGCCCCAACGTGCCGCTGTGAAGGGCCTGGTCACAAAGCGACCCAGGAGCCTCAGCCTTGTCTTGACCAAGCCGCGCCCTACTCTCCTGCCCTGACGCCCACAGCGCTCCTCCTGGTGGCGAGCAGCTTGCCCCGGACGCCTTTGCATACCCGGTCTTGTCCTTCTGACCTGCTGTTTGGAATTTCTTTAGAGTTAGTTCAGATTTCAGAATAGAGAACAGGGAGGCAATTGCTGTGCCCCCGTTTCCTGAGAATGGCTGACTAGGGTCGTGTGCATCACCGCTTGCTGCGCCCCGAGCTACAGCCCAGACATACGGCGCGACCGGGGAACAAGGACCTGCGCGTCGCCCAGACAGGGACCTGGGCAAACAGAAGCGGGCATCTCTGCGGTGAGATACCTGCACTGACCGTGTCCCCACGAACACACGAAGGCGCACACTGCTCTGTGTGTAAAGCTCTAGGCTTTGGAAGAAATGAGACACTGTTCATGAACTTCCTGTCTCGTTGGTGGCTCCCAACTCCGTGCAGGAGGCTGTGGCGGCCGAAAAGGCTTCCTCGGGAAGGGCCTGCCTTCGATTCCCTGTGCGAGCGGGGTCTGGCCTTCAGCTCCCGGCCAGCACGGCCTGAGCTATCACGCAGGTTTAAGAAACAGTGATGAGGGCTGGGGATATAGCTCAGTGACATAAGCACCTGCCTGGGAAGTGCAAGGTCCTGAGTTCAATTCCGGGTAACAAAAAGAAACAGTGATGGAGCACACTTACTTTCTTTTCTTTCTTTTTTTTTTTTTTCTGGTACCAGGAATCGAACTCACGACCTTGTACTTGCCAGGCAGGCGCTGTGCTGCTGAGCTAAATCCCCAGCCCCACTTTCTTTTCAAAACCGCCTTGTAGACCTGGTTCTGGCAATGTGGGGCTAATCTGAGCCTGGTTGCCCAAAACCATCACACTCACAACAGTTTTCCTCTATGTTTGTTTAGTTTGGTTTGTTTTTTTGAGACAGGGTCTTGCTATGTAGTTCAGGCTGGCCTCGAACTTGTGGCCAGCCTCCCGCGTCAGCCTCTCCAGTGGCGCCAGCTCCTCCATGTTTTAAAGGCCATGCTGGGCTCATGTTAAGGGTCACTGCCTTTGTTCTGGAAGTACAGGAAGTAATGACTCGGGAAGAGGAGAAGACCTAGGGCCCTCCCCACTACCACACAGCCGCAATGATGGGACGGCAGGCCGGGCCTCCCGCGCCTGGGGACGCAGTGCCCTCCGCCACTAAGTCGGGGCAACGGATGCTCGCCGTCGGGCTTACAACAGACGCCCTGAGGACGAGCGAGGACAGGCCCGCGGTGACAGGCAGCGGCTGACAGTGAGGACAGGGTGCCCCTGGAACTCAAAACGCTGTACAAGAGTGTGAGGAGACGGGCCTCGCTGGGTCACTAGCTCTGCAACTGCAGTGTCCTCGGGTCCCTGGGACAGCTGAGGGGCGCAAGACCAGGACCGGTTCCACAGAACACCTTGTTTGGAGGCGCAGCCCCTCCCGCTCTAGGACAAGGGCTCAGCCTTCTCAGGCCGGGCTGCTGCGGCAGAGCGCTTTGCAAGTTTCCCAGCACAGCATGTCACTCGGTATTTTGGCCACAAGGTGGCACTGCGACACCTCCGTCTACCTGCCCCGCCGCTCCCGCCAGTGCACAGGGTGAGGGCAGGCGCTGGGAAGGACAGCGGAGGCAGAGACGCTCAGCTCCCGTGGCCGAGGGAAAGCGGCCACCAGGGTCCGTGCTCGTGCTCGCTCTAGGGCAGGGGCGGTCTGCCGGCATCTTGTGCTCACAGAACTTGGCCGATGCCCACGTGCACCCGCCGGAGCCCGCCAGCCCTGCCTGGGCACTCGACACTCAGGACAAGGGGAATGGAAGCCTCCCGAGCAGCTCCTGCGTAGAGGACCGGGCGCGGGGCCCGGGGCTGCTGCCCGGCGTGTGCGGCGGCTGCGGAGCGCGGCAG